AAATAATGGTACTCACATGGAAAAAAGTTTTGGTTCAAATCCTGACACCTTCCTGAGAACACTGGGAACATACATGAATGTCCCTGATCCCAGCACCTGAGACTGGAGGGTCCTATGGGGGAGGTTTGTCAGTCTGACTCTGTCTGTCTCAGAAGAAACAAATAAAGTTTTAAAAAATAAAATTTTAAAAATGCATACCAGATTGTCTACAATGTTTGGTAATTGTCATCACCACTGGTAGTATTAATTACTGCAATTTTTTAGAATATCATATATTTTAAGATGAAAGCTACTGAAATTGAAGCAATTTGGAAGATACTTTATCCAATGTATTCTAGATTTACAGAGAGCTGACTTCAGAGGTGCTTAAAATTGTTCTATCTTAAAGTCCCCCAAATTTGGATATTTTATTTTCTAACATGCACTATCTGCATATTAAGTTACTTTTGTATTATGTTGAGTGAATTTATGAGTAATATTTAAATCAAGCTTATACACAGTATTAAAAGGATCTCTAAACTTAGTTTTGGCAAGTCCTCAGACTTTTTATAAAGCCTTCTTTAGGAGGAGCCTTCATTTTAAAGTGACAAGTTTCTAGTTATCCTGCTAATTCCAAAACAATGATCAATATTCAAAAAAAAAAAGGAAAGAAAACAGGTATATATATCAGGTTCCCTGTATACTATTTTATACTGTAAACTATTTTATACTTTTAATGATTAAAAGGTAAGTATATCAAGTTTTTTTTGTTTGCTTTTATGAGAAAGGAAGACAGAGATAGATACTTTCACAAGGTCTCTCTATGGATCCTCCTACCTCAGCCTCCCAGCTAGTTAGGTCCAGAGGCACCTGTACTGTTTAGGCTGGTCTACGAGTCAAACCAAGGCCTCCCATGTGGCCCCAGCATCATGCAATTTGTGCTCCCACAATTAGGCCAGGGAGGTAGTTTTCTTTTTTTTTTTTTTAAAGGAATTATTTACTTAATTTTATTTATTATTATTTTTATTATTATTGTTACTTAATTTGACCAAATTGAGAGAGAGAAAGGAAAAGTGAGAAAGCAAACCACCAGGTCTAGGGCTCGAACCATGGAGGCCATGTGGGAGTCTAGTGTCTTAACCACCATGCCACCTGCCTGCCACCCCCATGTTTATTAAAACAAAGGTTCTTCCCTTTTTAAAATTTTATATCATTGAGTAATGGCAGTCATTTTTCATTATGTAAAATTCATGCCTTCATTTTGCAGCGATGGGTGTTTTCTGCTTTAAAAAGTCTCCATCTTGGGACCAGCAGTTGGCATAATGGTTATGTCGCTGGACTACCTGCGACAACCGCAGTTTAAGTCCCAGACTCGGTGGCTTAAACTCACGCCAGGCACATGTGCGTGTGTGCTCAAGATCCCAAGAGGAGAATGGAGGAGAAGGGATTGCAATGTGGCCATCCCCCTTAGGGGGGATTTGTCGCTTTCTGTCTTTCTGTCTCTGTATTTCTGGTAAACGCATGCACCCTATAGCAAAAATCTCTCCAAAATAAATAAATAAATAAATAAAAGAGTCTCCATCTTAAATCACAGAATGTAGAAAAATGATTTACTTTCTAAAGGTTGATAACAATGCAAAATAGATTGTCGAAGAATATCAGTGTACTGAGTTTTCCTAGTAAATCAGGTTTCTATTTTATAAAATTTGGTAAAATGTTGAACTTATAGAAACTTAAAGACTATTTACCAAAGAGTATCAGTGTAACTATATTTATTCTTTATTGTTCATTTTCAAACAAATAAAATCCACATGCAAACACTTTGTTTGTTTTTGGCAATATACTTTGATTTTATTTTTATATAATTATTAATATGCTTCATTTCATTTTATATCATTATGAGCAAAGACCAGAATGGGTGAGTGTCTGTGTGTATATATTTAGCATTTACTAACAAATACATATTTAAGAATATTGTTAAATATTAAGGTTGATAATTACTTAGTTTGAGGTAATTTGTCTGATATTTTTTCCATATCTTCTATAACGAGAGCACCAATTTCAGAGGTGCTTAAGATAAGTTTGTTCTACCTTAATATTCCACAAGTTTGGGGACCAGCAGATAGCATAATGGTTATGTCACTGGACTCCCACGTAGTCAACCGTGGTTTGAGTCCCTGATCCAGTGGCTTAAAACTCACTCAGGGCACATGTGTGTGTGTGTGACCAAAATCCCAAGAGGAGAAGGGACTGAGGATTGAGGCGTGGCCATTCCCCCCGGAAATGACTTCTCACTTCCTGTCTCTTTGTCTCTCTGGAAAGCACACATGCCCTATGACAAAAATCTCTCAAAAAAAAAAAAATTCCCAAGTTTGGAAATTTTATTCTCTAATTGGTATTAATTCCATATTAGCTACTTTATCTACTATGAATTTATTAGTATTTAAAGCAATCTTACAGACAATATTTAATATACTTAAAAATTACAAGTGCTCTACTGTAGTATTTTCATATCCCAATGCATTTAGAAAATAAATTCAAAAATATCAAATTAAACTGTGAATAATTAAATATTCATCAATATATTAATAATGCTAAATTCCAATAAACAAAATGAGGATCAATAGTTTCACTAATTTCAACTAGTTCCACTAAAAGATTTTTTTCCTTCAAATCAACCAGCTTTACTGAGGAACAGCCCTTTTTTAACTTAACATTAACTAACAATTATGACATTTACTTATCACTTTACAAGGCTGACAGAGTGCATCTCATGCACAAAAGCAAATTTTATAACTGGTTAGATCTTGGTATAGTTAACAATGACAATTTAAACCCTTAAAAACATCTAAGATAAAGTGAACTCATTCTACAACGTGCTGCAGATTGAAGAAGATAGTTTACCTGATGTCTATCTATTGTCTCCTAAAATTATTCTGTGTACTAAAATTTGATTTCACATAAATTTTCAAGAACTTGACATCAATACTGCCCTCAAATAGACACAATCATGTATGTTTCTCTCTAGAATCCATTCCTAAAATAAGAAGTTGCATGTGGCATTATTTTAGGGGATTTCTCAATGGAGTTGGAAGAGTCCACATTATCTCAGAGAAATCTCAGAACCTTGAGACCAGCATTATTACACAACTAGCCACCAGCACTATGACATGTGGAATTACCTGGAGAAAGCTCAAACCTTTTTATTAAACCTGCTCCAACGACAGGATAAAATATACACATGACAAAAAGAACTACTGAGGACCAGTTATTAATTGAGCATCGTCAGTTAGTCTCCAATGTCCGACCCTCGGGTTTATAGTCTTGGCAGACCAGATACTTCAGGACAGAGCAGCTGAAATCTAGTAAGGACCAGCACTTAGTGAACCCTTGAGTCTCCTTCAAGAATCCCCTACTCTCACTGCCCCCTTCACTGTTCCTGACCACAGCATAGAAATAATTTACACACAGTCATGGAACACAAGAGCACACGCCCTGGTGAGCAAAGCTACAAGGGTAGTGATCACATTCACTGCTGAGATCACGAGAGTCTGCTGTCCTCAGGACTAACCAGAGCAATCAGCTAGCCTAGGAAACACCCCCTGATCACTACCCCTCCTCTGCATGAGGTGCGGCTCCCACAAACAACTGTGGGTTTTATCCAACTAGCACAGGTGACGAACCCTGGCAGAGTGATGGATTACATTTTTTAAAACTTGATCATTAGAATGTAAAATTTCTGCAAAAAGCAACTGTGACTATTTTATTTTTATGTCCCCAGGACCAAGCCCAGAGCCTAGCACATAGAAAATGCCCAATAAACGTTAGTTTAGTAGAAAATGATCGAAGGCATCACTTCCACAACTACCCCATGAATGACTGGGAGATGGAGGGATAAGATAATCATTGCAACAATAAGCAAATAAATAAATAAATAAATAAAAGGCCAGCACCATGTAGTGAAATGTCATGATATGGTCTTAAAAATGCTGGAATGAATGTGGTTCCATCAGAAAACATCTTGGAACCTGCCCTTATTGACTAAATGACACCTTTGCTGGCCTCTGCATGGAAAAACACATCATTTATTATGAGAGCATTTGGCTATCACAAACACTGAAGAACAAAGAATCTAGCTTAGGAATAAACATGAAATTAGCTCTATTATTCTGGGATTCCATGTTCTACATGTAAAACTTGCTTGAAACTTTCAAGTGATGACATTTTTTATTCTCTTTCTAGTAAAAATACAATAGTATACTGTTACAACACATTGGAAAAGTATTCTAATTATTTATCATAGAATGGCAGATACCACTGAACTGAAAACATTGTTTTATAAGTGGATCACTCTTTCTGCAACAAAATTCCATTTCTTTCTTTTGGAAAAATAATTTTCCAAAGAGAAAGTAAGTTAAAGAATTAAGATATTTGTGATGAAGCAAAAGCATACACTTACTTCATTAAAAATATTCGTAAAATTCCACATATACAACATTAATAGTTTTCATGAAAGTAACAGGTCTGAAAAGACTGACATCTCTGCAAACTTTTCTGTCAGTTATAGAAAACATTTGCTATCTGTCCCTTTCAACTTTATTCTATTTTCTGAAGCAAGTTTTAAGAAACAAGAGGACATCTTGGGATGAGGGCTGAAATAGGTATTTCAAGGATATTTTATAGACAATAAATGTGACCAAGGCCATTATAATCAGGATAATGCAGACAGACTTGATTTTTTTTAACACAATTGCACACAGAATAAAGCTTGATTAAGTAGTCAGAAGGTAAAGCACTGCATACATATAGCATAAAATTCAAACTAATAAATATTTCACATGCTCAGGTTATTTCAACTTAGTTCACATGCAACTTCATGAGAGCCTACGATGAATAAAGTTAAGTGTTAACCCATTTCTTTCCCTAAGACAAACTATTTGAAATGTTAAGAATCTCTTAAGCACTACACATTTTTACAATGCCAGAGAAGAGAAAGAGAAATGATTAATTTTTAAAATTACCCAGCAATTCCATTGCATCATCTTCATTATCAATGTCTTCTTCTGTTACAGACGGGGTAGGGCTGTGGATGGACTCAAAAGAATCTTGGGAAAGCATTGCTGCCAGAAGTTTCTTATGTTGTTGCTGCTGCTGTTTTAATCCTTTGGTTTTAGGCTCCATCTTTAAGCTAAGAAAATATTTACATGTTAATTAGCTGTGATAAGTGGAGATAATCTATGCAAAATTTTTCATTCCGTTATTTTTTTATGCAAAATTATGGACATAGTACTAAAGTTTTACTGAAAAATAATGGAAATACAGTCTTTCCTAGACATCCTGTGGCACCTCCCTGAGAAATTCCCAAATAGGTTTGGGGACACCGAAAACTCCTGCCCAGTTTAAGCAAGACGGTGTTAATGGCTCCTACCAATTGTTGTCATGTGGGAATTAAAGTCCACTATGAATGAGTTTTCCAATTTTTCTTAAAAGTTTGTTTACTTATTTATTTACTTTGGGAATAGGAGAGACAAAAAAAGAAAGAGAGCAAGAGAGAGAAAAACAGAGTCAGCATCCCCAAAAGGGTCTTAACTGTGTGACCCAACACCCAGCCTCAGCCAGCCCTGGATCATGAGAACACACCCATCCAGCATACTCAGGGAGGTCTCTAGACACAAATCCAGACACAATTCCATGTGAGGCAAACTCACAGAGTGTTGTGTTTTACCACCGCACCATGTCTGGTCAAAGATTTTCTAACCATTTTTTTTTTTAATCTTATTTAAAGAGGAGCTAGAGGGACCAGCAGTTAGCATAATGGCTATGTCGCTGGACTCCCATGTAGTCGACCGCATTCGAGTCCCGGACCCAGTGACTTAAAGTCAAGCCAGGCGCGTGTGCATGCATGCCCAAGATCCCAAGAGGAGAATGGAGGGGAACAGACTGCAGCATGGCCATCCCCCCTGGGGGGGGGTGATTTCTCACTTTCTGCCTCGCTGTTCTGGCGAGCTCAAGCGCCCTATAGCAAAAACCTCTTCAAAAAAAGAGGAGCTAGATAATCCAGACTGTTATTTCCTGATTTATAAAATAAGTACATGTCAAGCAATACACATATAATTAAATATTTTAACATACTAATATTTTTAAAAGAAAACTTTAACTTCTTTTACATGTGCGTATACAGTTGTCCCAGCACCATTTATTGGGAAGATTATTCTCGTCCTCACTGAATTTTCCTGTCATATTTATAGTACTTTAGAACTATCTTTCAAAAAGCTTTTTTTAAGTGACTGTGTTCTGTATTACAATACACATGTGTTACATTTCACCATCATTAGTCTTAGTACGACTATCAATATTTACCCCTTCTGCTTCAGGTCTTTTACCTTCTCTACTTCAAAATATTATCTCAAGTGTCAGATAACACTACATTTTTTATTTTAATAATGGAATACCATTTATAAAGCTCATGAAGATGGTCCACTGTATACATGATTTTCTGTTCTTTCTATTTTTCTTTTTTCCATGGCAACATCCAAGATTCTTATCATTTCCTTTTTGTTTAAAGAAGTTCCATCGGTCAGTATTTAAGGGCATATTTGCTACCAACCTATTCTTCCTGTTCTTCTTTGTTTAAGAATGTCTTTATTACCTTTTCATTTTGGAAATGCAATTTCACTACATAAAAAAAAATTGTGGCTGAGGGGCCAGCCAGCAGCAAGGTGGATCTCAAATAGCCAACTGTGCAATTCAAGTCCTGGACCCAGTGGCTTGAAAACCACGCCAGGTGTGTGTGCATGTGCACCTGAAATTCCAAAAGGAGAGTGGAGAAAAGGAGACTGCAGCCTACCCACCTGGGGGATACTCATCCACTGCCTCTCTCTCTCTCTCTTATTCTCTCTCTCTCTTGTGAGTGCATATATCCTGTACCCTATAGCAGAAGTTTTAAATAAAGAATTTTTGCTTGACAGTTCTTTTAATATTTGACTCTTTCTTCTGGCCTCCACATTTTCAGATGAGAAATCCAGGTATTCCAATTCATGTTCCCCTATATGTAATTTGTCATTACTGCTTTCAAGATCTCTTTTTGAGGGTTAGATCCCAGACATGCACTTATGATATGCCTTAGTGTTAAGTTCTTCAGGCTTATACTGTTTGAAGTTTTCTCAACTTCTTAAATCCAAGGTTATATCTTACATTAAATTAGGGATGTCTTCAGCTAGTACTAATTCTAATTCTTATTCAACCCATTCACTTTTTCCTCTCTTTCTGAGACTCAAATGATGAGAATGTTAGATCTTTTGTTATTCTCCTATATTGGTACCTACGGCTGTGTCAAATATTTTTCACTGTTTTCTTTCCTGTTGCTCAGAATGAGTAAATCCTTTCAACCTGTCTTCACATTCAACGATGCCATCCTCTGTTAACCTCAACAGTCTACTATAGAGTTTATCCAACAAGCTTTTTTTAAAAAAAAATTTTGTTTTTTTTCCAGTTCTATAATTTTCATTTTGTTCTTTTTCATAATTTCCATTTTGTTGCAGAAATGTATGTTGATCTGTTACAACAGAATTTATAGTTATTAGCTGATTTATCTTTATGATGGTTGCTTTAAATTCTTTGCCAGATAATTCCACCATCTGATTCACCTCCATGTTGGCATCAGTCTTTTCTCATTCAAGCTGCGACTCTCCTGGTTTTTGTATGGTTGACGATTATTTTCATTGTATCCTGAACAACGTGGCTATTAGTATAGACATCTCTGGGTCCTATTTAAATCTTCTATTTTAGAGGCAACCCCTTGCAGCTCCTGGCCTATTTTCAGAACTCAGGATTGCAAAGCTGTTTTGGTCTGCCTAGTTTATCTGCTACTGCTGTGGCTCCTGTTGGTCCTGGATATGGTGTCTGAGGAAGTAAAAGGAATATCCCCATGTGAGTCACTTGGTCCTATAGATGGAGGCAGGAAGTATCTGCCTGTGGAAACAAAAGCCTACATGTCAAGCTTTGTCATGGAGGAATTCCTGACTGGTCTTTTTTGTCCAGTAAAAGGCACTGATTTGCCTGGTGTTTCTCAGTGGGGAAGGAAATCTCAGGCTCATGTGGACAAAAAGACTTCCAGGCCAGGCCACTAGCCGAAGTGAATTACTTCTTGCTGGTGCCATTCCACAGCCTTGATACTTCAGTAGGGAAGGAGAGTGAATTCCCTGAACACTTACTGTCAGCCAGGTTGCTGGTCAATTCCCCTGACCTGTGTTTCTAAGTTTTCCTGGTGTGGTTCCTATTTAAATAGAGGAAGAAACCAACCTATCTGGGCCACCTTCTCTTGCTTGTTTGGGGTTAGGAAATGCCAGACCCTTGTGGCCTTATTCTGCTAAATGGGGGATTATGTAGCACCCTGTTGCTATGCTGATCTTCCAGTCGTCAGGTTCCTACTCATCTCACCTTTCTCCTTGACATGTAGGCTTTTGTTACCATTCTCATTTGCTTGTTTCTTGCTCAGTTTCAGGTACAGATGTACTTAGTGGGGAGAAACAGAAATTGTTTTGAACTCTCTCTTCCATGGCAGATAATTTAATCATTACAAAGAGCAAATGACACCTGTATACTGGAGAAATCTGGTGGATACCAAGTCATCGAACTCAGCAACACCAGTAACAGGACAGACTGACATTACATGCATGCTGATATGAAGCAATGAGGAAATACATGATATCAGCTCTGCGGGATTCTTGTCAAAAATGTCTAACTTTGATTTAATTGTGGAATGATCAGACAAATACAGATTTGGGAACATTTTTCAAGACAGCTAGCCTATAATCTTCAAGAATGTCAGTGTCATGAAAGGCAGAGGTCTGTTCTAGAGTCTAGAAGACTGCAGAGACTTGGCAGCTAAACTCCACAGGTGACCTTTTATTGGAAGGTAAGTTAAAAGAAAAAAAAAGAAAAACAAGAATTCACAATAGACCTTACTGGGAAGGTTAGAGAAAGTCGAAAACAAACTATTTTTTTAACTTTACGGTGTCATTGTTAAATGTTTTGGTACAATAACTTTATTGTGGTAATAAGAACATATCACTGTTCTTGGCATCCTAAAAAGCTAAGAGAGAACCATGTTATAATAACTATAACATTTTCAGATGGTTCAGCAAAAATATCGGCAGATAGAAACTAGATAGATAGATAATAGATTATAAATAGATAAAACAAAGATACCAAAAAGTTAAATTGGTGACTATAGGTGGATATGGATATTGTTATTATTCGGAAATTATCTGTGGCTTGAAACTTTTAAAAAAGTATTGAGAAGAAAAAATATAAGGGCATAACCTTGTCAACAATATTTATTCCAATGTTTCCTCCTATCCCAGTTATGTCCTCAGCATATACTGAGACTTATAAAACTTCATCCACTTTTAAATAAGTAATTTATTCTTTTAGTAACTATCAGTATAATTCCAAATAATTAAAGAAAATTATTTTTACGCTGTGAAAGTGGAGATAAAGCATAAATATTCACTTGCAAATTGATAGAAGAGGTTTATTTAGCACCTGTATCTTGCCACAGCACGTCCTTACCTTCATTTCATGTGTCTTTTTTTTTTCTTTTTAAGTTTTTTTGTCATAGGGTACATTTGCTCGCAGAGGAGAGTCAGAAAGAGACAGAGAGAGGGAAAGTGAGAAATCATTCCCCAAAGGGAATGGTCATGCCACAATCCCTTCTTCTCTGTTCTCCTCCTGGGATTTTAGGCATGCAAACACACGCTCAGCATGATTTTCAAGTCGCCAGGTCTGGGACTAAAACCAACTATGTGGGATCCAGTGCCTTAACCACTACGCCACCTGCTGGCCCAATTTTATATGTCTTTTAAACTGAGAAATAATGCAACAATTTTTAATTCTTCCTTGAACAACTGTATTCACTCAGAAGTAACAAACCAAATCAAACCAAATTTTTATTTGGATTTCTTAGCTAATGGACCTACCATACTATACTGGAATTTATATCTAGATCACTTAATTTAAGTCAGATTATATTAAAATGATAATGTATATTTATAACTTTTGTCCCGTTAGCTTCTGGTTAGAAGGGGTGTACATATTGCATTAAATGAAACATGAACATAATGTATTTACAAGATGAATAACTTTGGGCAAACTACTAATCCTCTCTTGTCCTTGGGCTCTTTTTTC